AGAACGATTTAAATAACACCCTTCACGTATACGAGGTGGTGTGCAACATTGTTTCTCGGCTGCTAAACACTACGCGGTCCAGGCGACGTTTGACAACCTGTGACCCGCGCACCGAACGGGTTGCTTGCTCAACTCCAAACTGGACCTGAGACGGTCTCCAATCAACAGAAAGCGCAGGTTCCTGCCGGCTTAAACGGAGAAAGTCATGGCTATTCGGCGGCCATCCTGCTGCCAACGACTGCGAGTTGAGTGTTGTAATCCTTTCGGAGTGGAAGTATCTAATTCCAGGCATCACATCATGTAAGATTATGTCAGATTATTAACACTCGGTCAATGTAAAAGAAGATCAACACGAACAATAAACGTGTCCCCGTCGTTTTAGTCGGGTGATTTTACTAGGAAAATGTGTATTATTTAAGTAGTTAGTAAATGCAACCTCCGACCCAGTTGACGCCCACCCCTGTTGGTGTCTTGACGCCGGCGGCCAGATACAGGTAGGCATACGCTTGGCGCCCACATAAATAAATTTAGCGCATTCCCCGGGGATCTGAAAATTACCGTCGCACCTTAAGTGTGACGGCCCCCCTATGATAGTGCGACTCACTGCGACACGAATATTCACGTCAGCGTGGTCCATTACAATACTAATGCAAATTAGAAGAAATCTGCGGCGATTCACATGTCGCATTTAACGTAACCTACAAAGATATATATGGGTGGCGTTTAATTCCCGTCATACACTAAGATACCCTAAAACGCGCAAAAACACATTTTTGGAAATTTCTTTGAATATTATAGCCGGATCCGAAAGCAAATTATCAGTTCCCCACCGCGACGCGTCGAATGACACCTCATGCACGGAAAGTGGTCTAACCCACGCACTCACACACTCCCATTTATTCACATACTACTCGTATATAAGGATTTTTTTCTAAAAATACAGGAAAAAGTTAATCTTTTATAATATAAATTTGAAGATCAACAAATTAAAATATTTAAATATATATTTTTTTAAATTTGTCCCAACACGGGGGCGCAGTTGCCCCCCCCCTCCCTTGACCCCCTGAATCCCGCCTCTGCTTGTTACATAGTTCAGTTCAGTTACAGTTAAGCCAATGACATTCCTCATGTAACATTAAAAAAATATGTTAAGGTGGTGCTTCGTTCTAATGTGAGGCGGCATGCACAATACCGTGTTCAACTCAGGTTGTGACACTAACTAATAGTTGAGTTTGCGCAATTAGTTGTTGCTCACAACGAGACTTCGAAACTTGTACGACTATGCATGATGTTCACTGCCAAACTGATTTCTGTAGGCGGTGATTGCGACGCCAAGATTCTTTACGTATGAAGAGTGGGGTTGGCTATTAACTTATAGTCGTTTAGCGTTTGAACTAATGCTAGAACGTTTTAAAACAAAAGATTTGTTAGGTTCGGTTAAGAACGGTCGAGCCGTTAGGTGCCGCAAAATCCGCCTCAAAATGTCAGTTCGCTAAGCAGGTGAACATCATAGGAAATTCAGAGAAATATCCCTCCGCCACCACAGCTGTTCAGAACACGCCTCTTCATAAAGTGTTTGTATGTAGCACCCGTTAAGACAACATCGTTTCTCATGGTTCATAACCGTGTAATAATATAAAAAAAAAGAAATTGATAAATCGCAAACCACCGAACGTTCTCGATCACAGCTCGCCACTTTACTGCGCAGGAGCAGGAAACTCCTGTGTCAGTACACGCCTGACTCGGTTTTCAAATAAACATAATACTTATCACACAAAAAGTAAATTCAGTGTAATGTTTATAAAACTAAAGAATTTTTACAGAAGAGCACAGTATCTCTGCACTTCCTAATTTCAATTATTTCTCGTGGCGAACTATTTTCGTCGGACGAGGACAATACAAAAGCAAGCGTCGAAGGCTTTTACAAGATAGCCGACTGCAAACGAACGAATGAAGAAAGGTGAGTCAAATGGGCTGAAGGATAGAACGACCACAGAACCTTCAGTTATGTTGCCAGCACTAGCTATCAAAATGGTCCATTCTTATAAAAATTGCTCTATGGCTTGTTCGCACACGCAGAAATTCCGCGAAGCGTTGACCGCTAGCCAGCGCGGCCGGGCGGTTAACATACTGGAGAGGAGGCGAACACGCGCCGGCAATCGTGAATCCTGTTTGGATGCTGTACTGGGGGTGCTGGATACTGGGGGCGTTTTACCCAAGCAACTGATTCTGCCTCGCCAAGCATATGAAATAAAATGTGATTTTCTGCTTTGCCGTGTGGGCCCGAACATACACCACCTTGGGAAACCGAAAGTTTTACACAAAGAAATGAGAAGACACTACAACATAAGGCTAAAATTAAAGTACACTAGGAATATGAGCAAGTATGTGCAACCTAATACATTTGAGTATGGGAATGAGAGATGTGGGAATAACTGAGTTGTGAAAAACTATTCATATTATATACATAAATAAATAGTAAATGCAAATTATGGATTTTAAATAATTAATAAAAATATAAAAGGGGAGAAGAATTGAACAGTGAGGAAGACAACTGATTACAGAAACGCAAAACAGATTGACTGGCCAAGTCGGAACATAGGTTAGAAGGCAGGTGTCGAGGATGACAAGTCAGGATGAGCTGCAATCGTAGAGACGCAGAATAGTACAAACAAGAGGGACAAGTCATGAGCTGAACACAGAAGAATGGCATTCTTGCCTTAACTTGTCCTCGCTGAGACAGTCTTCAGGGGGTGGGGGTCAGCAGGTGCGCTTGAAAGTTTGCCTTAGTTTGACCACATTGAGATCTATACATCAGCTAGCGGAGTTTCTCTAACCACGTATCTCCCGCCAACGAGGGAGACAAGTGCCCAGAATGAGAAGCCAGAGCCTGGAATGGAGAGTGGACTGTGGGAGAGGCGAAAGAACACGACGACCGAAGCGGACAAGTCAAGAATTGCGCAGGTAAATATAAGATCTCGTGTGAAAGGGTACTATATTTTGTCCACATGCTTAGAAGAGTGGCATTCTTGCCTTAACTTGCCCTCGCTGAGACAGTCTTGAGGGGGGGGGTGAGCTTGGAAGTTTACCCGATATGATCCATTAAGATACGTGAAACTATGCTTCACGCCAAACGACTAGCGCAAAAAATAGGCCCTATCTAAGTATGCGTGGGAGAGACAACGCAAAGCACGACCAAGGGCGACCAACTGAAACTTCAACTGAACATACGTTGGGAGACATCGAGCGTTGCCGGCCTGATCCAAGGATATGTGAGCGACGAAGTGGAGTGACAACTATGACAACAAAACTTACGACAATGACAACTAACAAACTTAATCCTGAACTTAAATTTAACCTTAATTATAGGGACTAGTAACAACCTAAACTACCTTAAATAGAACTTAGAGGAAATAGAACTAGTGAGAATAAAAATGTAGGAATAATTATTTCCCTAGCGCCTCAAATTAGCCTTATAGTTTGCGTATGGTTTCATATATTTCTGGGTTTAACAAAATTGTTTGTTCACTCGCCTATAAGAACATGTGTTAATTGATTCTCTTTGTACAGCCCTGCTTTTTGGAATACAAATGCGGTAATCATACTTCCCTAGAGCCTCAAGTTAGCCTTAACGTTTGGGCGTTTCATATTATTTAATGGATTTTTAGATGTATTTTCTAGGTGGGCGCTGCTAGTTTTAGTCTACAGCTAACAGCGCCTACGGTTTTTAGAAATCGAAAAGAGCCTAAAATTCGGCAAAAGAACATTTAATTAGACTCAAATTTGTCTAAAATGTAGGATATAGTTTTGTTGATATTGGTTGTTGGGCGCAGCTAGCTTTAGATGGCGTAAACACGCCTTCTGCATTTTATTTCATTTTTAGATATCACATTTGTAGTTCGGTTTTCTCCCATACCCTACACATGAAATTTAATATTCTTTTGTATTTTATGCTGAACACATTTATTACGACCCGAGTGTCGTACTAGTAGGCATTTAGCTTTTAACGTTGGGATAAATCTCAAATAGCTTAACAGTGAGGAAGAAAGGTGTCTCTGGAAAGAAAATCTGGCCCACTTTGACTTGCGCAGACCGATTTCGAAATTGCTGGTTTTCAGTGACCGCACCGCGGTGGTTAATAATCTTGCAATGCAATTTCGGTACTCGAAGAACACCGAGGTAGGGTGGGTCATCGACCTATACATCAGCTAGAGGAGTTTGCCCCAACCAGGTATTTCCCACCAACGAGGCACCGCCCCAGCCGGGACAAGCTTTAAGCTTCCGACAAGTTTGGTAGTGAAACGCATGTAAGCGTGTATGCATGTATAGGCGGCTCCACATACGCGGCATTCGGCGAATCCCGAGCAACCGCTCGTCGAATGCCGAGTAGTGTGGACGCATTGCTTGCAATTCGCCGAGCGCCGAACATTCGGTATTCGCCCTACTCACCGCGTGTCGGTCTTAAGCACACCTCAAAGGGAGCGAACATTCACCGAACACATCAGCTGTTCGAGATTGGACGAGCTGTTTGGCAAATGCGGAATGTGTGGAGGCGCGTGAAGTGTGTATGTGTATGTATAGGATGATGGTAAAACAAAGGAGAGGAAGGAAAGATCGCGCGCAGTCCATTTCCCATTTGTTAGGGTACTGCCCCAGCATTCACCTGGTGTTGATCGGAGAAACCACGTAAAACTACTGATCAGAGCGGCCGCTAGAATTCTCCTCCAGACAGCTGCTGAATTCGACCTAGCCGTGTAGAGATGTCGAAAAACCTGCAGCCCCACCATCAAGACTAGAACCCTATGACCTCCCGGTGATAAGCATTGCAGTCACATCAATTATTGATGCATTGAGCCTCCTAAGCCGGTCCCACGGAATAGTAAGTTCTTATCTAAACAAAGACAGAGAAAAATCTCCGCTGGGCTCCGTCGTTGGCACCCCCCTCCGCCCAATTGGTATGCGATTGTTAAGGGTGCATCCAGGCCTAGCTTCAAGGCTAGACCGCCGCTCCGCGGGGCGGTGCCAGTTGCGGGCACGTGCGGCCCTCGCGGCGGCGCTTCGCGACCTTTCGCCCGCGGCTGCGCCTGAGCCTGCGCTCGCGGGAGGCGGGGCCAAGGCCGCCGGCAGCGCTGTGCGCGGCCACGCAGCTCTCGCTTTCTCTGGAGCGCCCCGTCGTGGCGCCCGCGACGCCAGTTGTGGCTAGACGCCGACGCCGACGCTGTATCTGCCGCTCTCGCTCTACAGCCATGCAGGTAAAGTGTTGCATCCGCAAACTAAAGAGCGATGCGTCAACTGTTTTGAATGCACTAGGGACTGTCAAAATTCTCGAAGCCTTTCTTTGTATGCTTAAGTTTATGTAGAGTTTTTTAGACAAATTTTCAAAAAGTGACTTTGCGAGTTGTTTTCGTAAAGTTTAGTTTTCGCAAATTCGAGTTTTTTGTATAATGATAAATAGTACTGCACACCTAAGCTTAAAAAGTCGAAGCTATTCAAATATGTCTCGAGGAAAGAAATGGATAAAGCAGGTTTGGGATGCCTTCAATAATACAGATACGTTGTATTGCCAAAAGTCTGTTGTTTATTTCTTCATCTTATGGCTGATTATGAAATGTATAAAAGGTATGAAATTTACAATGTTTTTAAATTCATTTTAAGCTCGACTTTAATATCAGATTGTATGGATATAAATTTTCTCCCCGTCGGCATTTTACTTTCTTGCTACTGCTTATGGAGAAAATATTTTAATGCTGCGGTAAAAACAGCGAAATTTCGAAACTCGAATTACCGGACCCTGGTAACGAAAAAAAAGAGGATAAACCTTGCCCCTGTACATAGTAAATTACTTCCTCTAACACTTTGTGTAGTCAGAATCCATGTTTTGTGGATCATTGACAACGAAACTAGAGACGCTACAATAGCATGTACTTTCTCGCATTGTCGTAACCAGTTACGTAATATTGAAATATTGCAATTTCATGTCGCGGCCCCTTTAATCCAAAGCCGATATTTTAATATTGGGAAGCATTGCAGAAGTTCAATTTTTATTTCAGCGTCTTCTTACAACTAGAATATTGAATACACAGATTTATTCCTTAATGAAATCTGTTATTTAAAGACAGGTATTGAAATGAGGTCATGTACAGTTTTTCGAAAGTTTGCGTATTTCTATTTTGTAAGTTTTTTCAAAAAATTGGAGAGACATTTTACGTACGAAAGTAAATCTTTCTCGGTAATATAAAATGTTTTCATAAATGCCAACAAGGTTCTTGAAAATTAAAATCTACGGAAACAGCCATATTTTCTTCTCTTTAAGATATCTCTTCCTCTAGGGATCAAAGCGAAGAACCTATTGAAATATTTTTAGATCTTTCAAAAGATTTTGACGTCATTGATCATAATATTTTACTTTTAAAATTACCTTTATATGAAATTCGTGCTGTTCTATATTGGTCATATTCGTATCTTAAACAACGATCCCAGAGAGTAGAAATGCCGTACTGGAATGATGGGACATTTTATACACACCTTTCCGATTCATTGCTAATTGAACAATTGCCCTCAGGGTTCGATTTTAGGCCCAATTCTCTTCCCAATATACGTAAACGATGAGCCCTCCACGATTAGAAACGGAAGAACAACTCTCCTTGCGGAAGATACGAATATTCTTTGAACCGTAAATAGTTCAATATCAGATGTTTCAAATTGGTTCCGTAACAACAAATTAATTATAAACGGAGGAAAATCAGTTTCAATGCAGTTTTACAATTTCAATAAACATTTCTATTCTTCATTGAGATTAAGCGATGAGCAATTAATCGGTATTAAGATAACAAAATTTTCTCTCAATTCAGTCAAACTCAAAATGGAACGTTGATTTAAATGAATTAAATACAAAATTAAGTTCATTATGCTAGGCGTTCAAAATTGTTTCAAATTCGGTCAGAGTTCATACTCTTCGTTGTGTATATTTTGGGAATGCTGATCCCCGAGATAAGGCATATTATTCGTCCTATTAACACGTCCCGTAAACACGTCCTATAGCCTCTACACATTTAGGTTAAAAAAACACAACTACCGATGTCTATAACTATAACACTCGACGTACTAATCATATTCATTCATCAGGTATCGCTATCTATAGATTACTACAAAAAATCACATACAATACATGTACATTACTGTATAACACTTTGCCAAATAAGCAAACAATTAAATTCGATACAAAAGTGTAAGTCCCAAGTAAAATCCTTTCTGCTGCATATCTGTTCCTACCCAATTAAAGACTGTACCCAACATCAAAAAGGAAAGTAATATTAATTTTTAAAAATGATATTGAATGTCAGGGCCGGCAGTTGGTGTTAAGTCCGAGTGGGTAGTTGACCCGGGGGGGGGGGGCCCTCCTCCCTTCCCCCTCCACCTCCCATGGAAAATGTGTATGAAGAGAAAAGTACAAAACAGATATTTTTCAAATTGCCATGTTTACCATTAAATGGTTATCATATATTTGTTATCACACTTGTTTTATGTAATTTTCAGTTGATTTCTTTTGCAATGCAAAAACTCCGCTGCGATTTGCATTTTTAATGTAAACTCATTTAACAATATATGTAAATCGAATTTGTCATTCATGTCGCTATAAATATGTAAAATCGCAATACTGTTGAGAGGCGATTTTGCAACATTATTGATCGCATTTATGTTTTGAGGCGACGCAGTTAGTCATTTGTACTGTAGAATCCAGGAATCGTGACCAGCAGGCGAATAAAATGTATAAACTGTGGGATGAGCCCGCGTTCTTGTCTATTTACACGTTAGCTGAAAATCTACGATGTCCTCCATATTTTTCGCCGATTAATGTTGACTCTTCAAAGGTTTCAGAAACATGTCCCGGTCGCTTAGAAATCTTTCTAAATACAATTTTATAGACGTCAGCGGTGTCCCAGAGCGAATCATTCTAACAATTAAAAAATACGCTGATTCGTTATTAAATCGACTTTTTAAGAACGCTTTTCGAAAACTTTAACATATGATTTCCTGAAGAAATCTTCAGGTGTTATTTGAAGTTTTCGCCTGTTCTTGGATATAGGACCTTTTCGTTGACGTTGATCTTGAGGTTCGGCACGTTCAAGTTCAACAACAGCTTGAATACGTCTACGCCAAATCTCCTGAAAGTTTGTATCGCGAGAAGCGTCCAACACATCAGTCCTTGCTTTTAGCTTTTGATATGAACTTATAAGTAGGTGCGGATTCATATGTACTAAAAATTCTGAAAATATGTATGCAAATATGCTTAAAAATAGGAAATTATACACTTAACAAGAAAAATATGCACAGACATAAGTGCGTGTTTTATGATATAAAAAATAGTTATAATTGCACGTTGAATGACTCACATTGAATTTAATTTTTTTGCAAGAGTTCATAACATATTTTTCCAAATTTACTGGCGTGAATCTTTTTGTGTTGCCTGCAAGAATGTTCTTATACTCATAATAAGTTATTTCAACTTCACGTGAGGGTAGGGGCAATACTTAAAAGCTGCAATTATTTATCGCTATAATTTTCTACACCATGCGTTGCACACTGTACATACCATCTTTCACCGGGCAACCTAACTTAGGTGTACTATGCAACCTAATTGTGAGTAAAGAAATAACTCACTGCAGTGCGGGGCAAAGGGATGATATCAGTAACGGCGCGAGCGCAATTTTTGCCGGTTGCATTGAAATAGTTAAATTGTATTTAAAGTAGAGATTTTAAGCTCTAATCTTATCTACTAAATTAAAAATATTTTGGATAAAAATTTACGGAGCAATGGCTATATGAAAATTGTTTATTTCTATGTTTTTAACGTAAAATTGGCCATATTCGGACTATATGTGACACTCTGTTTGAATCAAGTAAGTTATGTTTGATTATCTTAAAATTGTTGCGAGGTAACGTTGGCACCATTTCGGCTAAAAATACGTTGATAAAAATAACATTAAATAATATTTATTCGTTATTTTCTAAAAAGTAGCGAAACAATTAGAACCCGTTTTAAAAACGGTTTTATATGTGCCGATGTTGCTTTTTCATCTAAAGCGAACTTTGTTCCGCTAAGCCATTGAATTCCCTCAAAAATCGTGCCAATTGTTATAAGTTGATAATGGCAGACAGTACAATGTATGGGCAGTGTAGAGAACCATTTGCAACAATCCAGCTGTGTTTGTTTAAGGCAGTGGTTGTTTCAGTTACAAGTGACGTTGCTGCAATGTTTAAAATTGAGTACGGAGGTGTGATAAAGATTTTGTGAAAAGAGGGACATTCTCCCGAAATAATCTAGGAACGATTGTATGCTGTGTAAGGGGAAGCCTCTCCATTGTACTACAGCGTAAAAGAATGGCCCAAGCCGTGCCGCCTGGATACAGAGTCCGCTGAAGACGAACCTCGTGATTGCTGGCAATTGGAAGTGATGACTATGGAATATGTGTTATTTGTGTATGAAGAACTGCTCAATGATATATGAAACTTAAAGAAATCAGTACATGGAACTTGGAAATACTGGAACTTTCGGAAACAAGTAAGAGCGTAGGCTTCCGCGGCCTGAGTCAGTATTTAATTGGCTGTCCTGGTGACGCCGAGTCCATGGCAAAGGTGCCGACGTTTCGGTCACCATTCTGCGACCTTCCTCAGGGCGTAATGCATTTGGGCGTAAGGCATGCATCCATTCGGGCGTAATGCGCATGCATTATGCGCATGCGCATGCGCATTTCGCCCGGAGGAAGATCGCAGAATGGCGACTGGAACTTCGGCACCTTTGCCTTGGACGCGGCATCACCCGGGAAGCCAATTAAATACTTTCGGAAACAACTGTTTTTAGATCATTCACCAGCCAACTTCTTAAGAGAAAATTCAGTGCAAGATGGGTGCCGCAACTTCTTGTCATCCATCTAAAAAAGCAACGAGTAACATGTACTCTCGACAGCTCTGGCAAGGGACGCGAAATAAAATATTGTACTGGAGATGAAACATGGTTCATTACTAGGATCGTCTTGCAAAACGAGGTGGTCGATGAGCGGCGCAAACTGGAAAAAGCACCTCCAAGAAAACAAAGGTGCCCAGTCAGGAGAGAAGATCACGCAAATAATTTTGGGATTGCAAGGGGATTCAGAAAAGTAAACATTACCGTCATGCGTCGAAGCCAATGTCGGCCGAGAACAACATGGAGAAGGACAGTGGAAGGAGAAATCCGGGAGACTGGTATGGGGTA